GAATAGGAGGAAGGTCTGGAGCTGGTAATGAGTAGCTAATCTCCATAGTGACTGTGCTCATGTCCAGGTTATAATCTTCTTGAGCCATTGCCACAAGTTCAGCATGTGTTGAATCTTCATTCAATAAAAACAATCTTGCTCCTTTGAAACGATCAACCACAAAATTCCAACAACCATCTTCCAACAACCATTCTCCATAAACTGCACGTAACTGATGCATCATCTGAGATAGTAAAAATAAAACACATTAGCAAACATAGAAGAAAGAAAAAGAAATTTTATTAGAGATCGAAGCAGACGACTGAAATGTAAGTCGTCCAGACGACTAAACATTCAGTCGTCTGGTCAACGCAGAGGTTATTTTTGCAATTAACTTTGAAATCAGTTTGTTGGGACGACTGAAATATCAGTCGTCTGGGTATGTTTGATAAAAAAAATCCAGACGACTGAAATTTCAGTCGTCGAAGGTTAGTTTTGCATTTGACTAGAAGATTTCAGAAGTTTGACTTTTTAGGACGACTTACATTTCAATCGTCTGCGAAAAAATGAAATATCAATTTTTTTATTGAAATTGGATGACTTACATTTCAGTCGTCGTAGGTTAGTTTTGCAATTTCGAAAACAAACTTCAATATTTAAAAAAATCTAGACGACTGAAATTTCAGTCGTCTAGAAAGTTAAAGTTTTTTTTCACAATTGCAAAACTAACCTATTGTAAGTCGTGCGTTCCAATAAAAAATTGATATTTCAGTTTTTTTCGCAGACGACTGAAATTTCAGTCGTCCTAGAAAGTCAAAATTCTGAATTTTTTTAGTCAAATGCAAAACTAACATACGACGACTGAAATATCAGTCGTCTAGATTCTTAAGATATTTTTTTGTAGCCAAAATAAAGCAGACGACTGAAAGTTCAGTCGTCTCTGGAAACAAATTGCAAAGTCAATTGCAAATATAACTTCTGCGTTGACTGGACGAAAGCAAACGACTGAAATTTCAGTCGTCTAGACGAACAGATCGAAAAAAATAACTCGATTTCATACCTTCAATTGGTGAGAGCACTTTCTTTGACTATATGAACCCTAGAAAATGTAGAATCAAGCACTCAGGAGCTCAAACGAAGGTAATCCACCTTGAATCTTTAATTTCTTTGACTATATGAACCCTAAAAAATGTAGAATCAAAATCTTANAAGTGAGAGATATGTGTTGTAATGTGTTGTTTAGTTCATGAGAATAGAGAAAGAAGAAGGGTAAATGGAATTTGGAGGCATTAAGAGCTTCAAAATTGGTTGTTCATGGTTGTTGGAGTATTGATGACAATGACAATCTTGTAATTACTTGAAGATGATGAGGGTGAGAGAGTAAATATGTTATTTTCGAAAAAAAAAACACAAATTGATGGTATTTTCGTGAATTAAATGAACTTGTGGGGTGAATTGGGTAAAATAAAGTTCCAAAAAAAAGGAGGTTAGTTTTGTGGTTGACTTTAAGTTTCAGGTCAATTTTGTAAAAAGCCCAAGAAAGAAAGAAAGAAAAGAGTTTAGAGTGAAGGAGGAAATGTGAACAAAGCGCAAAGATTGGGGCTCATACGCAAATTAAATTTAAAGAAAGGTCCTTCTTACAAAAATAAAAAACAGAGTTGAGTGGACGGATAGCACCGTAGCGTCTGGGGGTGTTTGTTTTGTAATGGCGTAACATGTGCATTGGATTTATAATCGCCCCACCACTTTCTTTCTCGTTCTCTCTCATCCATATAGTTTCAAACTGATTATACAAATAACCCATTTATCTTATCATTATGTTTTTTTAAATAATTGCATTTTCTTGGTTAGTCAAAGAGTTTTGGATTTATTTTGGCCTACAAATAATTAATATTGTCAATTATAAGAGATCTGTTTTCATGTGATTGATCTTTTTCTGCAGAGAAAATAATTTGAATTTTATATGCCAGTCTTTGACAAAAATAGGTTAATGTGTATTAATTTTGACATCCTTGGTTACTTCAGACTCAATCAAAACAATGATAGTGTGTTTGAAATCTTAAAGAATGTTTTCAAAAATATAAATGAGTTAACGTCGTTACATGATTACCAATTCCGTAATTATCGCTCATGATTTTGTAGTGCTTCTTGAGAACCATTAAGACAGATAGACAGGTTGGTGAAGGAAAAAAAAATCATACTTCAACGCGTGATTTAGAAAATACCATAAAATTAAAGTCACTAATCTTTCTTATTATGTTTGATATTTTCAAGTATGAACCAACATATAGTAAACAAAAAGATGGTCTTCCTGTCTTAATACTCTGTGCAATAATATGATAGTTAACTATAACTTTTTATTAATATAATCAATAAATTAAGAAACCAAGGTAATGAGATTCCAAACGTGAATCCAGCCATAAAATGTTTTCTTGTTATTTTTTAAAATTAAAACAGTCTTCTTCACTGACTTCTCCACTGTTCTGTTCTGCTCTGTCTCTTTCTATTTCGTACTCATTATAAGCTGAAACAGAGATCTACTCTTTCACTAACACATGCAAGTTCTTGCTTTTGTCTGAACTTCTTCTTTTCTATTATAAGCATTTGTAAAGAAATAGTAAGAGAGATGAGGAAGCTTTTCTTGTTAGGGGTTGTGGTGACAGGACTGATACTGGGGACTGAGGCAAATGAGTATCTAGAGTTCAATGTCACTGAGTTAGATCGCATTGAGGAATTAGAGTATGGTTTCTCCAAATCTAGCTCCAACTTCAACCCATTAATGGTTGGCCTCACACTTATTAGAGGAGCTGGTGCCAAAGGAGCTGGTACATTTCTCTCTCTGCTTCACTTCAATTCTTTTTTTTTGTTTATTATATTATATGACATTCTCAGATTTAAGCAGAGTTTTATATCACAGAAATCTAAATATAGATGTCACTCATGTGTCTAAGGTAGTTGCATTTTACAGTAACTTAGTTTCTGATCTTGGAACATGAGAGTTACATTATGTATATGCATCTAAAATATGGCTGCAGAAGAGTGTTTTAAACCAAAGATCTGTAAATTTTGTTTGTGTGTGTATAAATAAACACAGTTTGTTTGGATGGAACATTGCCTGGATATCACTTACATCGTGGACATGGATCCGGAGCTAATAGCTGGCTAATTCAACTAGAGGTTAGCAAACTAAAGATTTGTTTGTACATTAGATAAACTTTTGTCTTGCTTTAAGTCTTTTTTTTTAAGTTTCAAAAAGTTTAATGTGTGTGTGTTGGCAATGAAAATGTGTGGAAAAGGGAGGAGGATGGTGTGACAACATAAGGAACTGTGTATACAGAAAGAAGAGTCGTCGTGGATCCTCTAACTATATGGAGAAACAGATTCAGTTTACAGGAATACTTAGCGATAAAGCTCAACAAAATCCAGGTCTTTCTTTCTTTCTTTCTTTTTTGTCTTCAGTGAAGAAACTACTAGCACTATTTGTTTCTAACCTTTTTTTGGTAATGTTTATTCAGATTTTTTCAACTGGAATAGAGTAAAGCTTCGTTACTGCGATGGTGGTTCCTTTAGTGGTGATAGTCAGAACAAGGTATGTCTCAAGAAATGATAAACTTTTTGTTTATATACATAAATTCGTTTATTATATATTACATAAATAAGTCAAGCTTGTTTAACATTATTTTTTGCAGGCTGCACGGCTTCAGTTTAGGGGAGAACGGATATGGAGAGCAGCAATGGACGATTTGAAAGCAAAGGGAATGCGATATGCCAAACAGGTAATGTTTTTTTTTTCAGTTTCTCCATCCTTTGCTCCAGCTCTAGTAGTCTTGTCTCTATAACATTGATCAAGCCTTGACTTGTTTAATACACTTCAGGCACTTTTATCTGGATGCTCTGCTGGTGGTTTAGCAGTGATTTTACGCTGTGATGAATTCAGAAACTTGTTTTCAGGATCTACCAGAGTCAAGTGCTTAAGTGATGCAGGCTTGTTCTTAGACACGTAAGTTACTTCTCATCAATCTCTTTTTTTTTCTTCTCCTCAAAGTAAGTCAGCTTTGTATTCCTTATTAAAACCATTTGTTTTTTTTTTTTTGTGTGGTTAAAAGGCCTGATGTGTCCGGTGGTCACACCATTAGGAAGCTATATAACGGTGTTGTGCAGTTGCAGGGAGTGAGGAACAATCTGCCACATATGTGCACTAACCATCTCAACCCAACTTCTGTTAAGCTCTTCCTCCTTTAAGCTAATCACTTCTCTTTTTTTTTGTATTATAAGCGCAAAATCTGACTCGTAAACTCTTGTATATTTGATATGTGACAGTGTTTCTTCCCTCAAAACTTGATCAGTCAGATGAAAACTCCTCTTTTTATTGTCAATGCAGCATATGATATTTGGCAGGTAATGTTTCTTCTTGTTCTTCTTCAAGATTGAAACTCCCATGTTTAATGCTAACTAAGATTATATAAGTCTTAAAAACTGTATGACTTCGATCGTAGCATATAATAACAAAATATAAATAAACAAAAAATATTATATAAGTAGCTTTTACTTTAGGTTTTAACTCATTTGTTTTAACAGATTCAAAGTAGTATTGCTCCACCAAGTGCAGACCCTAGAGGTTATTGGCATGAATGCAGATTAAACCATGGAAGATGCAATGCAGCACAGCTTCGGTTCTTGCAAGGTTCTAATCATCTTAAAGAAAATACTTATCTTCTTTTAAATGAAATGACCTTGCCTGAATATTCTTATGTTTGTACTTTAATAACAGGGTTTAGAAATCAAATGTTGAGAGCTGTAACAGGATTCTCAAAGTCAAGAAAGAATGGTTTGTTTATAAACTCATGTTTTGCCCATTGCCAAACCGAAAGACAAGACACTTGGTTCGCTGATGATTCTCCTGTTATCCACAAAAAGGTATGCACTTCATGTTCATTTGCTTGGACTGTCTTAAACCTCGGTTTATTCGTATGGTTTTTACGTTTTTTGAGATCGTTGATTCTATAAAACGTTTTTGAAAATGAATTTAGGCGGTGGCGATAGCTGTTGGAGATTGGTATTTTGATAGAGCAGAAGTGAAGCTAATAGATTGTCCTTACCCGTGTGATAGGAGCTGCCACAATCTTGTCTTCAGATGATTGAATGATCTTCTTATACTTTTTGCTCATATACGAAATCAAAAGTAAAAAGAGAGTGCGTTTCTATAAGTTTTCATAGTTGTTGTATTGTATCCTTTGTACCAATTCCTCAATGGAAAAAAGGTTTTCCTAACGAGATTGAATTAATAAATTATTAAATTATAATGAAGTATTTTCCTTTCACATCAAAGATTCTGACTAGGCATGTGTAAACCAAAGATTGACGGAGGTTTTGGGATCCGGGTATCAAGAGATATGAATAAGGCTTGAAATTTAGAGTGGGATGGCGTTTGCTACAAGACACAGAGAGCCTATGGGCCCGGGTTCTTCGGAGTAAGTATGGTGTAGGAGATATTCATGATACATTTTGGATGGTAGTGAGCAACTCTGTCTCTTCAATGTGGAGAAACATGGTAAAAGGGTTAAGAGAAGTGGTAACCGCAAGCCATAGCTGGGTTGTTGGTAACGGGAGGTGCATAAGATTCTAGACAGATCGGCTACTCATGATGCAAGTGATCGAAGGGTTTCCAGAAAGCTATAAAGATATAACAGTGAGAAATATGTGGAGGGAAGTTGGAGGTTGGGATCTTAAATAGAATTGCGCATTTTGTAACAGTGGAGAAAAGATTGAAGCTTATGGCAGTAGTGGTGGATACAGTTACTGGAGCTCAGGATTGCTATTGGGGGTGGATTTACACCATCCCCAACGCCCATTAGACAATGAATTAGGCACATTTAGATGAGAAATCCTAAACTTCATTCTCAAATAAATAAGGAGGCAAGCCCTATTTGTTTAGGATATTTTCTCCTCTTTTAGATCTAGAACATTTTCTATAAGAATTTTATAGATTCTTAGATTCACTTTACTATTCAAATCATTTGTAATGCAATCCTTGAATCAATAAAATCTTGGATGTTCATTTCTCATTTGGTTTCTATGATGATTTCTCCTAAGCCTCAAGAATCTAATCCTTAGATTCTTCATTGTTATGAATTTGACAAACACACCGTTTTCGGTTCAAACAGTTGGCGCTAGAAGGAGGAGGCCAAGGAGAATTATTATCGAGACAAATCAAACTTGGGAAGATCTCAAGAACCTTAGATTTAAGATCTGAGTGTCAAAAAAACAAAAAAAAGGATGAAGCTTTCTCGTCGACACAAGTTCATCATCCTTTACTTACGAACGGTGTTTTGTTCCTTCCTGGAAAAAAAATTCAACATTTCAAACAGATCTGCTGCAAATCATCAAAATCAGCATCGTAGAAGAACCGAAGCGTTATCAGCATCACTGACGTATCATCCACTTCCAGTCAAGCCGGAGACTTTCTCGCTTCAATCGGAGCGATGGAAGTCATGTCGCTTCCTTAGCTCGTGCGAGCTTCAACCTCCATCGATCCCTTGCACCTGGGTCAACCAGATCGAGTTGTGGAGACAAGATCAATCACGACAGTATCTCACCAACTGGGTCGTCGTCAAATGAAACCAGAAAGGAGAAGTCTCCCAGATACAACTCAGAGGCTTCGATTTGCAAGACCTCCCGTCGGTGACGACTCTCCGGAGCCTCAAGTCTCACTTTATCGTCACTAAATCTCACCGACGTAATCCCGAAGGAGATCGGAGGCTTGACGGAGCTCAAAGTGCTCGACTTTTCCGGCGACCATGGAATCAGAGCTCAAGAATGACTTCAAACCCTTGTTGTTCTGACTGTTATCACCTCCAGTGTATGAACAAGAGAAACTTTATGCTTATCTTCTCAAAACTCAGTTTGCGTCTGAGAAGTTTCAGGTTTCTGCAAAGCGTGATGTTTAGTTACAACGGCTGTTCCTTTTGACAACGAGAACAAGACGCTCCAGCAAAACAGTATCGTGGTGGTGGTGTTCTTTGTGACGTTCCCAGTTGAGTTACCAAGGATGTTCTGTTTGAAAAGTATTTGGAAGGTGTGGTTTCAAGTTCTTCAAACAAGTCCAGTGACCTTCAGTTACTTGATCTCTCTCATAACCATCTCATAGACGAATTGCCTTCAGAGATCTCCAAACTGCAGTAGCTCAATTTCTTGACTTGAGGCATAGTCTCCTAACCGGAGTGTTTCCTGATCCTCAGAAACTGAGTAACCTCACTACTGTTCTGCAACAATAATTTGCCATGTCTATCTCATGTTTCGCCATTAGCTGATCCAGAAGGGTAAAGAGCCAGAGAGTTCAGTGAAAGGAAGTATATAAGTGGGCTTTGAACCTGAGTGGCAATGAGTTTCCTTCTCATTATGGGAATGGTTCTCGGCAAGGCTCAAGACTTGAGCTCGGCGTTGAAGGCTATCTCATCAGCCAACAAGCTCGGCACGAGAATTTGAGGTGGCAATGAGAAGACGACTTCGTGACAGACTCTTCGTCAATAATACATGACTCAGCTACACCAAGCTCTGGTCTTATTAAGCATAAGACCATATCCTCTTCTTTATAGATCATCATCACTGATATTGCGTGAAACACACACCAATTAACCTAATGTGCACACTACCACAATCGAATGGTATGTCGATGTAACACTTAAGGATCGAATCCACAGAGACCAACTTCTACACTTTATTTCTATAGGGTCAAATTCAAGCTAAAACTAACAAGTGTTGTGAAAATCAAATCTTGAGTAACAAGTAACTAAATGAGTTTAACAATCAGGATATAAAGATGCTAACCTAGGGTATCTCATTGGGTGTCGACCATACTGAACAAAACAATTATTCAAGCTTTTTAAGAACAGCCTAGAACTTAGGTTTCTAACTAGAACACCCTGCTCTCGCAGCCGCGCTCCTTTCGCGGAAGAGCAATGACTTACTACGCTCTCGCGTGTATCACGACTTAACAACAAACAGTAAGAACATACCTAAAATGCTCACATCACACCCTGATATCTACTTTCGCTGATCAGGGATGTGATGCTTGCTCTCAACAGATCTAGCAATCTAATTCAGGATTAATGATAAAAGATTAAACTTGGAAG